AAATATGAGAAGAAAAAAAATTCTTTCCTTAACTTGGAGGTTAATTTGTTTCATTTTTAATACAAAATTATAAGATATCAAAAATATTAAATTAGGTAGTGTAATGTTTCAAATAATAATATTTAAATTATTAAATATTTAAAATACTCAATGTTTTAACAATGTTTATTAAATTTTATTTTAACAAAATTTTAAGATACTTAACACTCTTAAAAAAAGAATTTAGGAGCAAATTACCACCAATAAGCATGGTCAAAACTTTTACACATCACTATGCGTGGGCCTCACACACTCGCCACATCAATAAAAAATGAAAAAAATAGCAGTTAATTAATGGAAGGAGTTTTTTGCTCCTCTAAAAAATAATTTAAGGATAAAATTATTTCACTTAAGAGTATAAGGTGCCCATTGTTTCTAAAAAATAAGTATAAGGATAAAATTAAACCTTAACCCTTAAAAAAACCAAAAACAAAAATGTAAAAACATTCAACAAGTTAGAAGCGTTTAGTGATCTAAAACGAAAAGAAAAAGTATGAGTGTTCATAAAATTATTTGATTAAACTGTTAAAAGTCAATGATATTAACCATTGTGTTGTGGATTTAAAATTGAGTTAAGGTATAATTTTTTTCTTAAATTATTTTTAAAAAAGTAATGTTATTTTTAAAATACTCATCATAACAATGTTATTCCTAAACTAATTAAATAAGAGCAATGTTACTAATGCCATTTAAATGTCCGTCAACTGAAATTAATGAGACTCATTTTTAATGTTTTAAAGTATAATTTTATTATTAAATTATTTTCAGAGGAGTAATATTTTAGTTATTTAAAAATCATAAACATTTCTCCTCTAAAAATAAATAATTTAGAGATAAAATTACATCTTATCCTTTTAAAATTTAACACTTTTGTCATGTACTTTTTTTTTCACTTTAAATTACTGAGTATATGCTTTGCCCACGGCTCATTGTGTATTTTTGCCCTCCACCAAAAACCATAACAATACAATCCATATGACAGTGATGACATTCCTTGACCAAGACCCAGAACATATTGTCACTCCAGTGTTCGAGGTTCTTCAAAAGTTAGATTCTCCATACGTGAATAAGCCGGGATTAGAAGTAAAACAATAGTGTTTTTTATCCCATGCACATGTTTTACGAGTTAAATTATTAATATATAAATATAAATGAAGTGGCAAGGCTGATGAATGATATAGTCAAAAGGAAGAAAGCAAAGGCAGATTGGCAGTAGTGACTGTAGCATAATTATCTAGTGGTTTTGTTTTGGACAATTAGTCAAAGAATCAGTGGAAAGCTATGAAGATAAGAGTAAGACACAACGTAGACAAATTAAAATGTCACTGGTCAATTGACGCATGAATGTTGCGAATCGCAGAGAGAAATAAAACTACCAGTATGAGCGGTGTGGTCCATTTTCAAGTGAGCTTCATGGTGCTTTCCCCTCACACAGATGAATACCCAGGGGCGGAAGAAGATCCAAACACAAGGACGCAGAGAGAGAGAGAGAGAGAGAGAGAGAGAGATGGAAGCGATGTATGTACATGAGCAAACACTCGGGTGTGATAGATCATAGAAGAGAAGCATTAAATTAAACATGCATGGTAGAGACAGCAGACATTGAGGTGTTGTGGATTGTGATCGATGCTGAATATTCCCAAGTCCATGTAATGCCATTAGCTAATACGTATGATACGCTCTATCGTGGAACAAATAAGCATGCATGCATGCGTTGCCTTGATCGTGGAGAACACGAGACAGCTGCAGTCTGCACGCTGGGTTTAACACGCTGGGCTGGAAGAACAAAGAATCTGCAACAGACAAATACTATGGTACAATCAGGAAACTAGTGAAAATGACCGAGTTAAACCATATAATTTTACATAATTAATTTAATTTTATAATGATCGTGTTTGTGGGGGACGCACCGAAACAGCGGGGGACTAACATATGAAATGTTCGCCTCGCGGGTGGGCTTCAGCTTGCAGATCAGTTGGATCAGCAAAGGTGAAACCCACGGATACCGATGGGCTGGCTGTTCGTAGTTTCGGGTGCCATGGGCCCACTAATTACTGTCAGCCGTTCTATTCTCCGAAGTTATGTAAATTTCCCCGACCGAACAACCATTTCACCCCTAATTTAAAAGAAGATTATGTAGATGTTAAAAATGGGCTGAAATATTTATCCCATGTACTCCTATTTGTGTAGGAAGATGAGGAAGGAGACCAAAAAAAAAAAAAAAATACTTCAATAAGTTATCAAATAATATAACATATTCAAATACGGAAGAGTTAGCTGTTGATGGAGTGGCCGACTTGCATTTAATAAGACAGAATTTGTTGTGGTTGTTATGCTGCATCCAGAGGTGAAATAAGTTAGGTCAAATTTAATTTTAGCTAAATGAACCAAAATTTATATGATAAATTAAAGGTTTAAACTTGACTTAAAGTTTATATAAGACTTTTTTTACGGTTTAAGTATAAACTTACCTAAAACCTAACTTTGTCTGAAAACTTATTTAAAAATAAGCCTTTTAAATAGGTTGACATTTTAATTTTAAATGTCTCATATATACTTTAGAATTATTATAATATACAATATATAACCTAATTCATCAATTACAATATATAATAATTGAAAGAATTTATCAACTACAATACAACAATAAAATAACAACATTAGAATTAATATATAAATTCACTATGATTGGAAATATAACTAAAAATGAAACAAAAATAAATTTATTAAAAATTAAATTCTAAAATTGATGTGTTTGTGAGAAATATTACATAATATATATGTGTGTGAATAGGTCAATTTATTGAATTCATAAGTTAAGCTTTAAAAAAATAAGCCTAACTTATTTAATTAAATAGGTATGATTAAAAACTTGAACCTAACTTTAACCTATTTAATAAATAGCCTAGATTAGGCTTAAAATAGATCAAGCTCCCAACCCTAGTCGTATGGTAAGAAAAATTATTTATTTCAATTGCTAAATAAAACTGGTAAAAAAATTACAAAATAAAACTATATCAAGAGGAATTGAAGTGATGGCATGGACTCCGAAGGAATCTGTTTACAAGTCAAGCCAAGGCCTCTGATTTCGGTCAAACTCTTTAGCACATGGTGATGATTTTCCAAATATGCTCCATCGATATTGATTTTTAAAGCACATACCGAGTACTTTTAAAATAAAAAGTGTAAATCTAAATCAACGCAGGACTTCATTTCCCATATCAACACTTTTTATGCTCCTTTCTCTCTTCCCCCCCACCCCTCCTCTCTCATAAATCTTTTGATTGTTCAAATTTTGATTCAGTTATGATTAAATCCTTCAAATATAATTTAGTATAATTCAATCTTTAAACTTTTAACTCAATTAAAATTTTATCTTTTATTTTTCAATCATTTTAAAAATTAATTTTTAACCCGCATTGAGTTATCACCCAATCATCCTACTTTGCAAAAATCGTTACTAATACTGTTAAAAGTTATTGTTGTGGCTTCCAAGTAAGGTCTACGTGGCTTTTATAGAAAATTGAGAGAAAAAAGGGCATTAGATTTAAATCTACAAGGAAGATCATGTGACTCTATAAGTTTTTTTTTTTTTTTGGTTGGTAACATGACTCCACAGGGTTTATTGAAGAAGAAATAAAGAAACAAACTACATTGGCGACAAATAGGAGTTGAAGAGAAGCCTCCTCTACCTCTTCTTTGACACAGATAAAAATTTATCTGAACAATTCAAATTTAATAGTTTTATTATTTTTATTTTTATTTATATTTTTAAAAATAAAATATATAAATTATAAATTTTTTAATAAATATACTTATCAATCTGACAGTTTAGATTTAATATAAATGATCCAAGTTTAATATAAAAAATTTAAATTAACTTTTCAAATATATTCTGGACAATGTAAATATATTTTAAACAGAATAATAAATTTATTAAAAATTTTTAATATTAATTTTAGACCATCTATATTAAATTTGGATTGTCAAATTAATAAGTATATTTATTAATTTTTTACAATTTTTATATATATTTTTTAAAAAAAAATATAAATAAAAAATAAAAATATTAAATCTGAACCGTCCAAATTAAACCTCTGCCTCAAAGGAAAAGTAGAGAAGGCTTTTCTCAAAGGAGAGGAGCTGGGTCTCGACAAATAGGGGTGGTGAAACTTGAGTAATAACTTTTTAATATTTGACAGTGAAAAACATGTGCAAAACAACTTTGGATATGATTGGCAAATCTATTAAGAAAAACTGCTCTAGAGCAAGTGCCTTAGTGTGACAATTCTTAATAGAAGCAATGGATGAGGTTGAGGATGATTTCTAGATGATCCCATGGAAAGGATCATCAACTTATTCACTATTTCTTCAATGATCATTTAGATTGGCCAAAGTCACAAAATAGACTCAATGATCAAATGTCTTGTCTTTGAAAATCAAACTTCTTCACTCAAAATAACCTTCTTCTCTTCAATTTTCCTTTTCAGCCAAGCCAAAATTATTCCTATCTTCAATTTCTTTCTTTCGCCAACCCTAATTCATTTTCTCTTCGATCTCCTTTGTCGCTTGAGCACTTATTCTCATTTCAATTTTCTTTTTTCCAATTGTGGGCTCAAAATACCAAATTTTATTTTCTCCCACTCATACCAAATTTTTATTTTCTCCCACTCATGTTGATCAACTATCAGACATGGTGTTGATAGGGATGCTAGTTCATATTATTTTTTTTGTCCCATAAGATGATTGGGTGATGACCAAGGAAGGGTATAGATGAAGAGTAAGCTATTTTAATGGTAAAAACATGAGTTTTAACCAAGTTAAAAATTTAAAAATCAAGTTATAATGGGTTATAATTAAAAAATTAAGTCATAAGTTAAAATATTTTAATTTAATAAACTATAAATAATGTGGTACACTTAGTCTAACTTGGACATAAACCAATTTTTTTCCCCTGCCAATGAAACATAATAACAATTTTACTGAGTCAATCACAGTACAAGGGAAGAACGAAAACTAGAAAAGTTTTCATCAACTAGCCATTAAATGAAAGGTGTACAAATCGTCTTCTAAACATGACAATTCCTAACCACACCATCAGCCATGCAATTTGCATCTCCATACATAAATCTGGCAAAAGACATTCCAGTTTCGATTCAATAAGAACCTCCACGCTGTTGAAACCTTGATACCAACACAATTCCAAACTTGAGCTTGATTCCCAGTAGTGCCGCAATGGTGGAAAATTTCCCAATTTGCAGCAAAAATTTGCAAACCAATTACCTTGAGCAGGAACAAGTTCAGAACATTAATTCCCACAATAAATCCAGGTCACTCCCAAGAAAATTTAATTAAAAGAAAAAGAGTTCTCATGTCATGAGCCATGAATCACGGTACAGAACGAAATCATGGGAAAATAATCCATTTCTCTTGGGCAAGTCATCCATGCTTTCCAGATCAGCAACTGCGCCTTCTTCCCACCCCCTATCATTGGCCGAGTAGAAAAATGCTGATCAGGTGTATCAACTATTTATCTTTAATCTAAGTAGTTTAATATTTTTATTTTATTCGTGTTTTTTTCCAAGAAAACAAATTTATCATCTTAAAAATCACGAATTAACATTTTTAAATCCAAATTGTCAAGATTAACTTGAAATGAATCACATTTTACAACAACAATGAGCATGCTGGAAACTTCTAGATCATTGGATTCTTCCCTTCTTTCAATTTTTTTTCCTCTCTCTCTCTCTCTCTCTTTTTGCCAACGCTGCATTATTAGATTCTCATTCGTATGATTTCAGTTAGGCTTTCAACCAGCAGGAAGTACACGCTATCTTAGTCTGGTCCTGAAACTAAATACGCCCAGCCAGCATGCAAAATCCTTGACAAATCCTTCAAAAACAATCTATTTATTCGGATCCAATTAAAGAGAACGCCAACACAAGTGTTGCTTCAAGTCATACTAGGTTAGAGCTTTAATATGAAAAGTACTTTATTCATTCCTGCCTGCACATATATTCGCCAAAATTAGGCCATTCACGTCAAATCTTGCTTAAAAACTTAATCAATCAACACACGCTATACTTGTAACCAAAGAATATACCACAATTGCAACGAAAATTGAAAAAAAAAAAAAAAAGACTAAGAACACAGAACATGAAATGTCTCACTATGTAACTTATGTACACCCTAAAATCACAATTCCAGTGATCCCGTGTATCCCACCAAAAAGTAACTATTTAATGAAATAAATTGAGAAATTTAGGCAACTAACCATTACGAAAAGGAGATATCCTAAATACTAAAACGTGGTGGTGTTGGCCGCGTTCACATTCCTTCCGCCACCAACTCGGAACCGGGTTCGACTCAACCCGCCCGAGTCCAATGCCCCAACAGAAGCGACGCCATTTTCGTCATCCTCTTCTCCTTCCGCTCTCATCATCTGCAGCATCCTCCTGGCCTTCTCTCGCGCCCTGTCTGATCCTCCCCCTTCAACCTCCCTCAACACTTCCACAGCTCTTGCTTCCTTCGCCAAAGCTTTGAACCTTAAGCTCCCATGGCTCATTCCACACAACGCCGCCACACAGTGTTCCCTCGTCGCTTCCCATTCCACCCCCTTCTTTTCCCTCAGCACACCCACCAAGCACTCCACCGCATTCGCGTCCAGCATCGCCGTTCGCCCCTCCGTCCCCGCCGCAATATTACACAGAATCAGCAAAACACGGCTCGCCAGATCCCCCGATTTCACCATTGATAGCAGCGTCGGCACCACCCCGAGCTTCACCAGCTTCACCCTGTTGCTCTGAACCAAGGTCAGGTGGTACAGCGCTAGCGCCGAGTCGTGCCGGGTCCGTTCCGACTCCGACCTCAACGCGTTCATGAGCGGCTCCAGCGCGCCCAGTACTCCGATCGCCATTTTGTTCTCGTCGTCCAAGGCCAAGCTGAATAGTGCTCCCGCTGCGTGCTCCTGCGCCTCAGGGAATCCATTTTTCAAGACATCGATGAGGGAAGGGATGAATCCAGACCTTACAATCTTCACTTTGTTCGATTTCTCCAGGGAGAAATTAACCAGCGAAGCAACGGCGTTTACTTGCACGACGCGATGCTTCGACGGGATCAGTGATCGGAGTGATGACAGCAACGCGGGCGTGCAAAGTGAAATTCTTGTGTCCTCTCTTGTCTTGGTGATGTTTCTCAGCGAGATAGCCGCTTCTTCTTGCTCAGAAGCTTCTTCGCTCCTTAGCTTCAGCACTAATTTTTCCTCTCCCTCGGAAAGTGGACCGATAGGGTTCTGGTTTTGTTGTTCATTCTCGTTAATTTCGATAGAAGACGACGAAGAAGAGTAACAGGTAGGACGAGTCGCGAGGGGCAAAGGAGTCTCGGGACACCCCGCGGCGACTGCCGACACCTCGGACGAACTCGTTTCGAACTGGTTTACCCGGGGACCCACCTCCGTGGCGGCATGAGAGAAAATGACCGGTGGATTATCCGGCACGGCCTTGAGCAATTCCCTATCCGAAATCCTCAAATCTGACTCCTGCTTTTCGCGCGTTGACGCCATTGCTGCACGGACAAGCCTCTCCACGGAGCTATAGTCTGGCGGGCGAGGGTTCTCTACGCCAGATTTAACGCACCAATTGGATATCGTGGATTTGAGAGCCAAATTCGGAATTACAGTGGAAAAATCAGGCGTCGACCCGTCTTGTAGCTTGGGAGAGAAACCAAAGTCTCTGCACACTTGAACAGAAACAGATTCAAATGTCTGGCCGGAAGCGACTACGACGGGTTCGGCTATCAGAGACCCAGAAATTGGGCATATAAACTCGATGGGGGGCTCTTTCGGTTCGAGCTTCGAGCTTGGAGAATTACGATGGAAAGATATTTTCCACCTGGACCGGCCATTGCCACCCATAATATGATAATAATTGCTTCGGGGCAGCTACAGATGATCTCGTCTTCTCTATGCTTGAGAATAAATTAGCAAATCTCCTGCAACTTTTGGCGCTAAATTGTACGAATAGGATAGCGAATACTGAACAGGCTCGATCTTTACAGAGGTTCTTGAGACTTGCTAGACTGAGTCTGCGAGCCAAGAGATACAAATCCTCATTCCATGTGATTCGAGTGCTACCGAGTTTTTGAGCTCCGCGCGAGATATCGCAAGATATTCCAGGCGACTTCACGGCCTTTTTCTTTTTGTTTACTTTTCGACTTTGACTTCTTTATTGGTGACAACTAAGAATTTTTCACCATAATCTCCGAGTTTTTTTTTTTAATCAGTAAATGACATTTTTTTTTATAATTTTATATTTTTAGATGCCTCTGTGAATAAACATGCTTGTAATAATAAGTTTAAATACTTCTAATAAAGATAGAGTTAGTTTTCTGTTTTGCATGTCGAGATTATCAAAGCAAAATGACAGAGCTGGGCAGACTAATGAGTAAAGCCAGCAGTCCAGCACTTATATAGGACACCGTGAAGAATGTGTGCTGGCCTGCTGGGTGAGTTCGAAGGTCGGTGGAGAGGAGTTAATGTCAGCATGTTTTGGGTCTAGATACGAAATTTATGAAGGTGAGACCAGCCATTGCTCTGGGCAATGTGTGTGTGTGTGTGTGTGTGTGGCTATTCTGATTATTTTCGTGGGCTTGATTGGATGAGAGAGAAATCGAGCCGTGCTTTTCCCAGGATCTTTGTTAACCATGGTTGTCAAGCACGATGTAATTTTTCGACATTCATGGACGGTATTTTCTGTCCGCGTGTCGGAATAATGTCGTCTCTGTTTGGAGTGCTCACTGTTAAATTAAATCTCTCCCTGTTGAGAATAGTTTCTCTTCCCTGATTAGAGTGTGTTTGGCTTTGACTATTATCTGGTGGGCGAGTTAATGTCGATGGAAATTGATGGTGTGATGAATGGTGATGGATGATATGGGGAAAATAAAGTATTTGGATAGAAAATTAGTAACGTATTGTTAGTTGATGCACTGTAGGCTATAGAATTGGAGAGTCGATGTTGGCGATTGGTCGCGTCAATTACTGTGATGTTTTGCACGCCAATATACAATTCTTTATGGGGCGACTTGCCAAATAAATTTTACTCCTTTTTAAAAATTAAGACAATCCTACATCCAAAACAAACTTAGAACGCGGTTGTTGGAACTTCACTCAAGATCCGTTTGGCATTACATATAATATCGGACTACATAAACTAATATATGACAAGTATAATAAAACTTTCAGTTCTTTTAAGTTTCCTCAAATTTAATTTTTCTCGATTTAATTTCTAATTTTTTTTAAGTTATCATGTTATTTTTTGAGTTTTGAGACATGAATTGATTCTCAAATTAATATCATATATAAAATATTGATTATTTAACACACACACACACACATACATATATATATATGCTATTAAATGAGAATAAATTGATCTTTAAATTAGTTTATAAGCTTTAAATTGATAATTTTTTAGAAATTTAAAACCGTGAGGATAATTAATATAAATTTGTTTGCATTAATTATGATCACGGGGAAGCTTTTTTCCAAATCAAATTTTAACTTTTTTAATACATACGCACGGTCTCTTTTAACAATTATAAGGTGCTATAGGAGAAAATGATAATTTTGACGATTTCCCCCACTTTCACAACACTTCTATCACTGATGGAACTAAAATGTGGTAAAAAAAGGTGATAGAACTAAAACCAATATAAAATATATTTCTTAAAATTCCACGGATCTTCTGAAAAAGTAAAGTTAATAATTATATCTCTTTTAACTATCATAATTATTCAGGAAAAAAAACCAAGGGTTTACTGTAAGTTTTGAGTACATATATCCACAACATTTTAAAAATTATATCTTTTAAGTATAAATATGCATGTAAGGTTATAAATAAGTAGCTTTGTTTATTGATGGGACGGGACATTAACTTCATGAACCATAATTAACTTAGAGCACAGTGATAGACAGGGAATTAGTCAGTGGAGGCATTTGTATGTGAAAAAAATATTAATATGATGTGTATAATAAACAAAGTACTTAAAATTAGGCCGAATATTAAATCAATTAGGATACTAGGTCATAGGTTAGTGGTTCAACTGAAATTGAACTGAGAGTCAAACTTGTGACGAACCGATCATGATTAAAGTAATATAATTTAAATAAAAAGACATTGATTATAAAAAATATTCAATCAAATTCAAGATTAATCTCTAATACAAGATACCAATACAATAATAATTATAGAAATATAACTACCTAAGAGTCTAAAAATGATAAAAAATAACAATAGACAAAAACAATAAAAAATGCTAAGAAATAATAGACAAATTAACAACAGTAAATAATATAGAAACCAATTATTTTGAATTAAAAATGTAGATAAGGAAGAGTCATCAAAATCATAAAATTAATGACTAGACAATGAGGAGATTCACTAAGAGACAGAGGATAGCAATGTTATGATGAGTTCTGCTTCATGGCAAGTTTTGTTTCATCGCGAGAGAGAAGACAGTTAAGAGTAACACGAGTTATACATCACGATCATGATGAGTTTTGCACTTCTACTACACGGTGAGAGAGATAAAGTTCAAACTAAGAAAGCCAAGAGCCTAAGAGAGCGACAACAGTAGAACGGGCAACGACAATGGTAAATGTCTAACTAGTGGGGTTCGATTTGAGCTAGGGTTAGAGATGAGTGTCCAAAGTTGGTGGAGTGTGGGGTTAGATCGATTGATTTTAGAATTAAAAAATAAAACCAGTAAAACCTTTTTTGCCCTTTTGGCCTTTTCAATTTTTTTTTCTTTTTTTTAAAAACCCCAAAAGATCATATTTTGGGGATTTTAAATGGTGGAATAGGAATTTTTTAGGTTTTTTAAAGGGAAAAATAAGTGACCAGCTAACTTGTCAAGTTATTCAGTTTATAACAGGTTGATCCTAGGTTGGCCTGATTATATCGAATCAATCACTAACTAGGTTATGATAAAAACCGAACCGGTGGAGAAGCCGGGTCACCATTTCACGAGTTGACCTGGCCGATCTGATTTTCATATAATGATAATAAATAAGAAGTATAAATATAAAGAAATAAAAAGTTAAATGGCATAGAAGATGAAGTAAGTATATTGACCTTCTTTGTAATCTTAATTAAATATACTTTTTTTTTAAATTTATATGAATCTTCTTTAAAATCAATAATTACTAAACACAAACTTGTCTTTTATTTTTAAAATTTTATGTTTTGCTATTTAACTTTTAATTAATTGTTAAGTCATATATATTAAAACAAAATAATCTCTTTAAAAATAGATATTATCTAAAAATCATTCAACATACAAAAAAAATAATGCAAATATTTCTTTACCTTTTCATTCATATTTTACATTTTTTAGTTTTGCAAACTTATTTATTGAGTAATTTTTAAAAATTTAGTACATAAATTGTGAAAAGTAATATTTTAAAGATGTATGTATAAAAAAAACTAATGAAACAGGTATGTAGTACATAATAAAAAAAATAAACTAGTCAATATAATTTAAATTTTTTTGTTATTTTTAAAATTTGAATGCAATACTTTTAAATTATTTATTTAAATATTATCATATTTAATTATTTAAAGTTTCTTAAATTAGATGAGCGATGGTAGACATTTAAATTATAAAGGAAAATTCAGAATTTTATACGTCTTAAAATAATTAAAAATAATACATTAAATATTCTAGAATCTTAAATAAAATATTTCTAACCACATTAAAAATTGAATTAAAGTATAAATTTTAAAAAATGAATGAAAGATGTCTGTAATTTTATCAAAATAAAAAAAAGGTTACCATATTTTATTCAAGACAATATTAAAAAAATTTAATTGTGGGTAATTAATGCATTTTTTTTACATCTAGTCGCCAGAAGATACAATAACATCTTTATGTGCCGACAAGATTGTGAATACTGAATGGGTCCACCACCCTAGGCGGGCCAGGCTCATTCATTTACTTTGTTTAATGCACAAGTTCCACTTATTTATTCATTTTTTCAGTCAAAATTTTCACTTGTCTGAATTAGTTACTTTTTTTTGCCATTGGTGTAGGCTTAAGCTGTGGGAAATTATGGAAAATTATCCTAGCAGTAAGGAATTAGTTGCTTTATTATGTTTGATACACTTCCATTTAGATTGAAACAAATTTCCTTTACCCAGCGAGAATAGTTTATCATTTATTATATATACTTAATAATAAAAAATTAAATTACTATTATCTTTAGAAAACTAGACTGGCTAATAAATCAAATTCATGATCCAAAAGAGCGGAGCAATATGTAAAAAAGTAAATTTCCTTGCCAACTCGTGCACAACAATAAAATAAAATTTTACCAGAGGGCATCGGATGGAGTACATTGGAAGGTTTGTTACGGAGATAATGTGATATTCATACTATAATTGGGATGTGATTCTTGAATGTCACAATATGCTGTCTTGAGATTTGATTGCTGAGCTTGGCTATGTTCGCAAAGAGGATAATGTAGAAGTTGGTCACTTTGTTAAAAAAGAGCTTTTGCTCTTTTCTGGGGGCTTCACTTTTCACCTTTGGAAGAGTTGTTTTTTTTCTAGATTTCTTTGTTTAATTTATCAAAAATAAAATAAAATTTCAACAAACATCAATAAATTATATTTATCTGTGTCCACATAATGGACATTTTTAAAGTACATCTGGGCAACTAAAGCTTCTTTTGAAGTTTCACGGTACCAGCCAGTGAGGACTTGACCTTATCCATGCTAATACTCTACACTTTTGACAAGTCAATATATCACATCCAACATTCAATTAGCTTTTTTTAAAAAAAAAAGAAGAAGCAAACTGTATACACTTTTAAGTTTTAACATTTATTATCAATTTTTTAAAAACAATTATAGTTTATAGCATTCGTGACATCTATTATTTCACTAAAGTTTAGTTATAAAGAAGCAGCAGCATGTTTCCAATAATTTTATATCATACAAACATACACAGAGAAATTTTTTTATTAATGATAATTTTAACAGTAATAAATACCTAAAAGGTTACTTCTCCAAGATCTTTTGGATCAAACAAAAAAACTGCAGCAAAACAAAACACACTACAACATTTTTATTATCTTAAAACATTTTAAAAATATTGCTATAAGATTGAA